TGTAATCAAGTATGGCTAGGGGAAAGAAATTTATATTTTTCTGCTCCCTGAAAAGATTGTAATTGTGGCCAATTTGATTCTTTTTCACATTAAAACTGATCCTGTTATGTAGCTGTCGTGGTTGTAAACCGTTTGGCACCTATGTAACTTGTATAAACACGGCCATGCATTGATCTGGATTAATACATGATTTTCTGCAGTGGTGAAAAGGTTAATGAAAAACATAGGGCATGTTTATATTACTTAATTGCGAACTACACATTCAAGTCAACAGAAACATGTATATTTAGTCATTTATTTGGTTGATATTAAAATATTATGTAAACTTGTATTCAGAAATCCTACGTGAAGCTTTTGAAAATAAGCAAATTTCTAACTTTTAACACTATTGTATTCTTTGAAAAATGTTATCTGCACAATTGATTATAAAAAGAATTTATTCATTGCATTGTTCTATAAATAAATTACAAGTCTTCTAAAATATAATGCATTCATGTATATAGGCAATGATATGTAGTATTGAAATGATGAAAATATCCATAATCCATTCACTGAGGAAATTTTCACTGTAACCATGGCAGCACAGCACCGTGTAGGGGTCAGGGGTTATTTTCTACTGTTGAGGTTTTCTCATTGGTCAGGAGATGACCCCAAGACCTCAGACCTGGATTCAGTGTAACTCCAATGATAAGATTTTGGCTCTGATCTCTGCCGTTGCTATCTTATTTTCTTGCACATTGAATTGTTCCAACTCATTTCAATAGATGCATACTTACAATATACAGGGAAATATTTGCGTCGCTACTTTCATACAAACCCAATATAGTCAAAGCTGATTTTGAGGTCAAAAAGTTCCTCAAAAGGATCTACTGGAAGCTAGCTAGGGTGAACACTATGTTTCAGTAGCGGTTTGTAGCATACTGTATGACACATTCATGAAAGTGATAGTACTATGAAATGTACGGACATTAAATGTCGACTTTGTGATGGATGCATAGCATCCAACTTTAAATTCTTATGAAACCCACTGGTGTTATTGGCACAGATTATTTCTAAAACAATTAAGGGCTGAAATGGTTACAATATTGTAATTAAGCATACAAATTTTAGCAGTTTTCTAATTTTAGCTCTTTTGCACTAAGTTGTGAAATTGATTTCATTAATTGAAGTATCTGTATATATAGTTAGTTTCTATAATATGAGTGAGCTTAATCATCAATGTGATGATCTGTTAAGATTTGACAACATACTATAACAGTTGTATTAGCCACTCATGCTTTTCCGAATCGTAACTGGATACTGTGATATGATTGGATATCATTTATGAACCCCTATAGTGATGTCAGTTTTATGGAAATTGCATTAGTTCTTACTTCTGGAAAGTTAAATTGAATCGCGAAATAGATATTTTAGACTAAAATGAATGAGGTAATCATTTATATACTATGGCATAATAATTTTTAAATTAGTTTTACTACTACAATTACAATGTATCGGAGAAAATGAGGGAGAGGACTAAGGTTTTCACACTAGATAAGCAAATTAAAGGAATTCAGATGGGATGTTGATGATACAGATGAGATTGATCACAGCACTCGGGTTCTAAAAAAGGCCGGCCGACACCTACACAAATCACATGTGAAATTTTGACTAACCAACAGATCCTTCAAATGCTTCCCAAATACTATCTCTGATTGAACAATTAACACATACAGATAAATTGATTCAGTTCTAAAAATTTGCAAGTATATCTTGAGCATAATACTGTTAAAATTATTTCAGATATAATGGTTTGTGTTAAGTTATTTTGTCTCACAATTTTCTTTTATTGCAGGAAGGTGATGAGGATGATGTTGGAGAAGAGGATGCAGAGGATGACGCAGAAGATGAGGGTTGATCTTTGTCTTGACATTTATATTGTTTCATTGTCGTTCATTTTATCATCACATTTTCATCGGTCATGTTTCATTTGGAGTCGTCTGTCAGTTGTCGTCGTTGCATGTGTCGGCCGTTGGGTCGCTACAGAAGTGGACCATCTCATGAAGGATATCAAGACATTTGTGACATTTGTATGGACGAAAAAATTAACCACCAGTAGTTTCTAAACAGTTTGTAAGATTTGTGTTCATAATATAAGGAAAGACAGCTATATATCATCGTCTCTGGAAGTGTTTCATTGCCTGCAGATGAAATCATTTTAATTCTTCAGCTCAGTACGTATGAATTCATAACTGTTCTATGATATAATTACTTAGTAATGATGTTTGTTTACTTTGTGGGACAGGGGGATGTATTTTTCCTTTGTAAGTGTTTTGTATAGATGAATAGTACAGTTTTTTTCCATCCTCTGTGTTCAGGTCAGCAAAGAGAAGCCTTTATGTAAATTGTATGGAATGAGCTTGTACCGTCTATGCAGCTATTTCCAGATCAGCTGAATTTTAATTATCCGCTGCATATTCAGCTGTATCATGTGGAGTTTGGTTTGATTACCACCAATCAGATAGCTTTGTCTGAAGTTTTGTATGCATAAAACAGTCCCAGAATTGTGTTACAGATTTCATGGGCTTAAAAGGGAGGAATTGTTTGCAGAATCAATGTTATGAAATCATCATGGATACCTTCTAATGGAAGATATAGAAATAGGACGTTTTCGAAGATCAAGAGAAACTTGAAAAAATAGTGGAATTTTAAATCCAAATAAAATTGATTGTTTAGACAACTTGACATTGTCAGTTTTGTGTTCATAAGATTTCGCCAATCTGAAACATGTCATTCATTTTTGTTATTGTGCATTAAGTCATCTTTTTGAATTTTTTTTTTTAAACATGTTGATCTATATTTTTGGGGTACCAATTAATTTGGTTTTACCAGTAGTTACTCGATTGGCAGTCCCCAGTTAATACATGTAAGGGTCAGTTATCAGAATAAATTTGCATGTATTTTTAATTCTTTGTTTTAATTTTTTTACACAAGTTCACATCTTGTACATTGAATATTTTAAAAATGGTCACTTCATATGAAATATTCCGGATAATTATTAATGCTATTCCAGATATAAATGTATGGGGGTTACTGAGGCACTTGAAATAAAAAAAATATGGGTGCTGGAGTCTGTGGTGGTATCCATGGGAAATCAAAATTATAAGGTTGGGGTTGACCTTGCATTACCTCTGTCACTAGTATCTTTTGTGACTGATCGCAAAAAAAATAAATGTAAGTGTACCAGTGTTCACAACGATTGTCATACACACAGTGACAGAAGGGAGGCAACCAAGGTTTGCTTCTGTTTCATTGTGCATGAGTGAAAATCAAGACGGTCAACGCTAGAGCGGGTGCTGGGCGATTATTGCCTTCAATGCGCCATGTGTCGGAAGGAATGTTTTGAATACATACTGATGGTGTGGTGTGGTGCTTGCATCGATAGTGAACATTTTAGCAAGTCTGCATGTGGTCGCATGTACAATGATGCATTGAGATTTGATATTACAATCTGACTTGTAGTGTAAATGATGTGCATTAATTAGGTTGCCTTAGGAACATCAGCTGTAGGGAATTTCCCTCTCAGCGGTAGAGCATCGGGCTGGAGAACCAAGGGTTGCGGGTTCGAGCCCAGCGACGGCGCTATCTTTATCACTTTTACTCATCCTACTACAATAGTATTATAGAAATTAAAAAGTTATAATGTCAAGAAATTAATTATATATCATAATTTTTCACACAATGGAACCAACAGGTTTGGCACAAGCGCGCATATGGGTAATAATCCTGCATTTGGGTAACAGTTAGCGTTTACAAAAACAGTTATATTACTGGAATGGGGAGATCAAACACATGGCGTTCTTTCAAACACGAGAACCGAAACATTGTGGCATTCTTTCTATGAAATAAATTAAACAATGAAATACATTTGTAAACCAAAAGCAAATGATTACGATACATTCCGAGTTTTTGTAGAAATGGCAAACCGCAAACCCTATCATTGACTTGGTTTTCTGTTGACTTCAGTGTGGTGACAGGTGAGCTTATGTTTTTTCCATGTGCTATTTAAAGCTACCCTACAACAAGTTATAAGCAGTGGAGGCGATACAGTATGTCATTCGCCAATTTCAACAGCTGATTTAACATGTGTACAAGTTAACTTACCTTGTTAGAATGAAATAATAAAATAGTTGAGCGTGATACAAAATAAAAAATCATGGCATGTGTGATAGGGTGTGTAAAAAAAATCAAAACAGGTGATGGAATTGAATGATGTAAGAAAACTGTGGGTGGTTGGGGTAAAAATAGCAGTGCCTCCACCCTACATTTATTTCTGGAATAGCCCTTAGCTGACGTAACTTTAATTTTAATTTTTGTCAATGGAAAGAGGTTCTCTTAAAAAATAACTGAGGGAAACGTCTGTGCTGGAAAAGGTTGGAATAAATCCATTAGCACCCATGTTATCTGGTCATTTAGGTTCTTGCTCTTCTATCAGAGATATTTTAGCAAAAAAATACTAGAAAGTCTGATATAGGCCGTACAATTTTTAACAGAATTTTGGCAGAAAAATGTAAACACTGCAACCAGTTCGGATATGTTTCTCTCATTTTAGTTCCCCCCAAACAAATGTATTTTCTAGAACGTCTCGGAAGCGATTTCCCGTGTTCTGAGGATTGTTTTTATGTTTAATTAACAAGAAAAAAAACAACATGTATGGCCCAAAGACTTTTTTTGTGAACTGGAAAGAAAATTAAAATTTCGGTTCAAATTCTCTATCAACAGCGTGTTTTAGAAGTCGGATGGTATTATTATAGGGGCAACCTGGTGATGACAAATGTATGAATCCACAGGGGGCTTGTTTATAATTACCTAATTTGGCGTCCCGCCCGCAAGTGGGATACGAAAGGTCCACCGTCAAAAAATAAATGTAGGGACGCACAATATCTAGTCTTCAGACATTGTACCTACATTACAGTACTTCATGTAATAGTTTATCGTACAAAAGAACAAATAACACCATAACATCGTTGCTGTTTAATTAATGAGTTACTCATGGCATCACTAAGTTGCTTAACAAACGGACAAGTTCAAATCAGTGCGACACCCAAGGTCACTAGCTATATAGTCCCCCCCCCCCTAAATCCGCGCCTGTTAGGCCTAGTAAGGCATACACATACTCGTGTTGCCGTCTGTTAGTTAAGCTTTGGCGAATGAAGGTATTGCATTGTAAAAAAAAAATAGGGGCTAGGGCGGGGCCCCAAATTATAATCCTTTGATGACATGACGGGTATTGTATTTCATTTAGTTTACATGCTGATTTCCACATCACATCTAAACAATAAAATAAAGCTACCAGTACCTATGATATAACTCAGGTGACCGCTAATGCCCTTGTGCCTCTTGTTAATGGTAATCGTGAAAAATGTTATTAAGGATCCCGTCATCACTGCCAAAAACGTAAGTATTTCAAACTGTTTTATTCCGATGAAATAAACAAATTATATTCAACAACAGCGTTCTAGGTGGGCAAAAATGAACAGATAGTGAACGGGATTCAAACTCTGGACTTCAGATTGTTATACTAATGCTCTAACCAATTGAGCTACCTTGTAAGCGGAAGTGTCCTGACTTAAGGGGAGATAATCACTAACAAAAAACCAGTGCAGTAAAACAGGGATCCTTAAGCAACATTTTTTTTTTAAATAAGTGACCCATACCGTTGAGATGTCTATTTGATCTGAGCTCACCAGCTTACGAGTTGCCGAACGGGTAGACACTTCAATGGATTGACATGATGGTGCCATACATGGAACACTAAGAAACAGGATATCAAACAGTGTCTTCTGTAATACCAAATATCCTTCACCAGTTCGCAGCGCGAGTAACATATATCAAATATTAGCTACACGAGTGAAATATATATTTGGTATTACTGAAGACACTGCTAGATACTCTGTTTATTACATTTTTTTACGAAAATCTACCCCGGAACGAGAAGCGATACATCAAGCTGGCAATACTTGATCTAGACCCTTTAACCAAATGCACCACCTATGTGAGGTATACTTTATCACTATCACTGTTAGAGATGAAACTGGTTCTCTTATACTTTCTGCCAATGGCTTAGCGTAAGTTTAGACTTGAGACTCTGCCACCGTGTTTCATTTAACACGAGTTTTCTCCGATCAAATTGAATTGATAGAATTGCTGACCTGCATAGTTTTCTGGCTTTCTTAAAATGAAAGTTAACTGTGGAATTAAACGTTGAGTTTCCTCCAGAAAATAGTTCCCGAATGAAAGGTAACGGATTTGATAATTTTGGACGGATGCTCATGAGGCCTGCATATCGTTAAGCTAACCAGCCTTTGACCAGATGGGCAGTTTGTAATTCTTCCAGTTGTAGTTTGTAATCAGTGTTTTGATTTGTCAAATAAGAAAAAGTGATAGTTTTCACTAGTGAAAAATATCACTTTTAGAAAATGAATCATTTTCAATATTTTACTGGTAAAAATGTACTTAAAAAAATTCTCCTGATTTCCTGGGTCATCTATACTTTTCTGTAAAATACCAAACAGCGTACTACCACCAAAAATGTAACCAGAGGGTTATGGTAAGCTGTTGTAACACTAAGTGGCGGAGTCTTATACTTATAAACAAGAAGTCACACCAAAAGATCAAGTCTGATGGGTCGAAATCAAGCTAAGATCTACTCATTAGGATAGTTTACATGTCATATCGGAACACCATGATAGTAAAATTGCTTAAAAATCACTTGATCTGCTAGTTGAACAAAACTGCTACCAGCACGATGCTGGCAGGAGACTTGAGGAATATATTGGGAAAACTCAACACCAAAATGAATCATACGGACAAAACAGGTTCAACAAGTAGTCGACACGTCCACACTTGCGTGACTTGGATATCATTGAAAAACCAACAATGGGGAGACAACTTACTCAGACTTGAATCATCCACATTTGGACCATGATGTAAAAGTCTCAGACATGGATACTTATTTTCTTAAGAGTGTGAGAAGAAAAGGTATATGTGTTGACCTACAAACTTGAACAGGGCATTGACAAAATTAATGTGGACATCAGGACATGACAACGAATTACCAAGAAATGAAAAAAATGTAGCACTAAACTTCGGTTATTTGAAGCCACCAACGTCTTAACACACGACACCCAACAAAACAACGTAAATTGTTAATTTAGAAACAAATCCTCTTGTACCTGCCGAAATAGACTTGCATTTGAACAAATTACAGGCGTTATTAAAAGTGCGGTAAAGGAGAAATCAGGAAAGCGGAATGGAACTATATCAATGTCATCCAAGAAGGACTTAAAAAAGCAACCCCACCCTTTTGGAAATTCAACGTATCAGGAAACATGACAATATCAGCGTTCAACCCGTAAAAACACGACAGTCAATATGAAACAGACTTAATATTCGTACAAGAAGGAATAGCAAAACTGCAATGGAACCGAAGTCCAACAAAAACTTGTGGTCAAGACAACAAAACCAGGTTTAATCGTATGTGCAAACAAACTAGTATCAATTTTAACAAACCTTTCAATTATGCTTCACAAAGTTTGGCAAACTGCCAAAGTCTCATGCACCTTGAAAAAGAGGGGACAAACGCGCGCTCGAAAAATTTCCAACCAGTCATATAAATGCCATGTAAAACTTAAGAACTAGTAATCTGCAAACACATTTTTTAACGCATATACAGATACATTTTTTAACATCACTTAATCCTGGATTAAGATCAGGCTTTTCTTGCAAAGCAGCTGGTGACTATATCGACGGCCTACTGGTATCCTTTTACAAAGGCAAACAGGTCGACATTGCCAAGACCAGACGATGGCACTGTACTCAACGACTGTCTACTTCATATAACGAAGGGGTTTGGGATCAGATGAACATTCCATAGCTAACTTACCACATTCTTCACAAACGTATTTCAGTAGCTCTAGAAGAAGAATATTTCGGTGAGGCAAAGATGAAAGGAGGGAACCCACATGGAACGGTGCTGGGACCACAGCAATTGTTCATCAAGACTATGTAAAATCAACCTAGACTTTTTGCGGACGCCTGCCTATATCATTTTTATTCAGAATACATATCATTTAGTTCTATTGCAAAATATAAATGGTGCATCATTCATATGTGAGTGTCCTTTCCCGGTAACCTAGCTCGCGTTACACCAACAGGTCACGTAAATCTATAACGCCCATCAATGCCCTCCAGTTTTCTTGGGTTTCGCAGCGTGTTCATCTTCAAGAATTTCGCTCCATATTATATTCATCTAAATTGTAGAAATATGAGTAAAAGACCATATTATTTTGATGACCCGGATATATAATGGCTTTATTTGCTTGTTCCTGCTTTACTCGTGTTAGTAACGATCCTTTGTCCTTTGCACAATTTAGATACCAGTGTTTGCCCTTGAAAGTAACTTCCTTATTGTTTTCCCACACAGGGCGTCGCAATCTTGTCACGATATAAATTAACATGAACACTGGATGAAATGGTATAGTCATTGAGATATATACTGTGGTGAATTGAGTGTGGTGTTCCCTGTGAGAGATTGTCAAAAATGGCCCCATCCAATTTAAATACCATAATGACGTTCTCATTTTACCGGTTATCAAAATCTCGGCCGAGACAACAAGATATCGTCTTAACCAAGATGCAACCTTATATTTTCAACGAGTGCTAATATTGGCAGTCATGATAATGACCTCCAACTTTCGATAATGTCACATATCACTTCCATTTTGCCTAGTCATTCTAGGCAAGACGTTGTGTTTCTAACGTCTTCGCGTTTAACAGTTTTTTAAGGTATTTAATGTGCTTTATTCATTTATTATTTATGTAGGATTTCTATTTGATAGAGACAGAGAAAATGAATTGGCTTAAACTTAACATTCCTAAGCAAAAATATTTACTCTATACTTTTTGATAATTTTACAAAGTTCAGTTGTATTTCAATCCTGCATATTAAACATTTGGCTCCAAGTCTCCATATAAACGCAATTGCGACAATTGATTTCATCATGTACATTTCAAAACAAGGAACAATAAATCAAGCAGATATGGAGCTAAACTTGACACAACTAAACAAGGCAAGTCAGGACATCAATAAGAATCCTTTAATCTTTGTATATTCAGTTAATATAATTTCTAAAATGAAACATGGAGTTGACATTTATGTTGCTTTTCAAACGCTAACGTTTTTTTTGTCGAGATTTTGTAAATTGAAAAACAATGTCGTTTAGACATTTTAAATAGAGGCCGTTATCTGTGAATCATAAGTTGGAGACACCACCTAGCGGCTATTTTGAAATTGTTGCATCATGGGTATCTTTGTAATTGAAAATTAATGTATATGTGTGTGTCTATGTATGTGTGTATGGTTTTACTTGTACATCTGTAGATTACAACTGTGGTATATTGTGTCGTGTAGGGTTAGAAGAATGAGACTGTCGTATTTTCTTCATTAGATAAATGTTTTAGATATTGTATTTTATTAATTTCTTTGAGCATTGCTTTGTCAGGATCAGTTCTGTTTACAAGAGAAGGCGCTAGCGATTCGTTTTATCCAAGGTATGCTATTTTTTATGCAATGTGTTCTTTCAATTGGTATCTTCTTATGCTGTAATTCTACACTGAACTGTGTAAATGTATTAATATATAATTGCAAGACTATTTTATCGCCGATGCGATATAAATGGCAAATTTGTGCCTTTTTTAAAATTATATTTTTCGTTGTTATAACATGTAAAATGCGTCACGACTGTTGTGGAAATCTCAAGAATGATTTGTTTAATGAATGAATATATGAGCAAATGACGAAACTAATTAATGTATGAATATGTGTACAAGATAATGACGACTTTGTAAAATTTTAGTAATTTTGTATGATACTCGTATCTGTAATTAATTAAGTTTATTAATATAATGTTGTCTGAAATTTTATTCAAATTATTCAAACATTATCATTCTTGACTGTTATTACATCACTGCAGAATTGGATTGCTTGGTTTTCTCTTGATATGCTCTTTTTCTTGAGGTTTTCTTCTTTCTGTCTTTGCTTGACATATAGCATCATAGATAATAGTTATTATTTATTATTATTTGTGCGCGGTTTGGTCAAGTGGTTAACACTACGGCCGTCCACGCAGGCGGCCGTGGTTCGATCCCCGAAGTCGTCGTACGCATGGAATATTCAGAGAAAGTGTTTTTCTCCTGCCCACACAACTCAAACAATACAGGTGGAGTATAAAATGGTCTGGGGTGGATGTTGCGGTATCTTTGTTGTAACATCCAAGTAAGGTGGCACTATAATTGATACCGTTGGAAGCACGGCCTCACTACAAATACAGCATAATACATCTCCAGAACACACGTAGACATACACACATATTAGCTAGGTGGCATATATATATGACTAGTAGTAAGCGCCTGATAAGTTGTATATTATCATTACTGTCATTTGACTTTCATTATCATATAATAAAGCACAAACCAGTGCAGGTTCGGGGAAAGAATAGTCCTGCTGTAACTCACTGCATGATTGTAAGAGGTGACTTATGTGCCCCCCCCCCTGCAGAATCGGGGGTTGTTTCTTTATTGCCTTCTATTAAGGGAATATTGAAAAAAAAATCAGGGATAGACCTGTTGTATCTCACTGTATGTGTATCGTAAAAGGCGACTAACTTAGTGCCCCCTGCGGAATCGGGAGTTTTCGTCCATTACCCCTACGAAGGGGACATGGAAGATACCAAAATCTATCTGTTGCCTCCATTGAAACGCTTGGGATATTTTTCAGGCGGTGTACCCCTATAGACACTCGTTCTTATATGACCCTGGCTGTTGCGAGAACGTTAAACCGCAAATAAACAAACAATACAGTTGTTATTGTAGAATGGTTTGAAAGGGTTGTCGTGGCATATCTCATGTAATTGTCATTAACAAACGAAAAGGCTCGCGGCAATATTACTCACCAAATAAAGTTATATATAGCATTAATTATCCTTCAACTGGGCCCCGGGGTCTCTAATTTCAAACCATCCGAGCACATAATATTTTGTTTCTATTAAGCAACTGCTGATAATGCAATTAAAATACTAATAGCTACTTATTAGTACCACGTATGTAAATGGTCCTGACTGTTAGTGTGTGTGTGTGTGTGTGTGCAGTTGTAACACAAGAGGTAAGTTTGAGACTGTTGTGTTACATACAAAATTCTTGTTATGTTAGTGACTCACACAGTTCTTGTATCGCATAATAACATTTGTTTTCTTTTGTAGAATGCGTTTACTGATCACCGTGTTGTTTGCGTCTACGGTATGGGGATACCGACATTTCCAGGACGAGATTCCAAATGGTGGAAATGTGCTTAACCCATGTAAGAACAACGACATCTGGGGAGGCTTGGGCCACCGGAACCCCCGCGGAGGAGGGATCTTTAATCCTTTTGGTGTGGACTTCAAGAATGCTGGGATGGTTTGTACACTGAAATATAAGCATATCAACGATTGTAACGGTTTAAAGATAATTAATCACAAAACGTTGATGCGAATGTTTTCGTTCATTCTACAAGTTTATTTAAATGAAACGTTAATTTGAAGCTTACTAATCTAAACGGGATCAAGAGCAAGTATAAGTCATGTTTACTCATCAGTCATAACACAAACGAAACTAGAATATTTCCTGTATTGTTACAGTCTTTGTTGGCTTATTTAATGACAATTTTTTTACTATTGGATGATTTTAAGTACATGAAAACAATATTTGGTACCCAGGAAATATAATATCATAATGAGTTTATATAACTGATTTGCTTATTGATTTGATTTTCTCATCTCAAGTAAGGGTTAATTTGATAGTATGGTAAACACATGCTTATTCCAGTCACACACTACCGTCACTGATCAAATCAGGGCTATTGAATTGCAGTCATCGGCTGTACGCTTGAAGTACTATAAGACAATCTTCTTTTTCTTAAATAAAATAAAATGAATCCAGTATTTGTTGAAACAATTCGTGGGTAGTGTAGAAAGAAAAAAAGAACAATTATTCATGACGGGACACGTATTTGCAGAAGTGGACAAAAGCCCTGTGTGAGATGGACTCTGACGGGGATGGAATAACTAACGGGGAGGAACTGGGGGACCCGGATTGTATGTGGACAAAAGGAAACACCCCAACGGTCACACTCGGCATAGGTCACCCCGGTGTGTTTTCAGTTTATGTATACTATCTTTTTTTTTTTTTTTTTTTAAAGATTGTGAGCTTATTTGTTTTCAGTTGTTGTAAATATAGGTCACTCTAAAGTTGTTGCTAATATAAGTCACTCTAAAGCGCTTTACAGTACATATATATACAATTAATACAATCAGCATATACATTAATCAAATACAATTTTGAGGAATTTGCAGGAGCTGTCTTATCAGGCGCTAACTACTAGTCCTATGCCACCTGGCTAATATCTCCCTATGTGTGTATGCCTGCATGGGTACAGGAGATGTAATGTGTTCTGTTTGTAGTGGGACCGTGCTTCCAACGGTATGCTTTATAGTGCCACCTCACTTGAATGCTACAGCACAGATACCGGAACATCCACCACAGACCAGTTTATACTCCACCTGGTTTGTTAGAGTTCGAACCCCGGCCGCCTGCGTTGAAGGTCGAAGTGTTAATCCATCGACAAATCCGTCCATTAATAAAATTTGATATATCATATACAATATATGCATGTAAGTCTTAAATATGTTTTTTGTTATTTCTGGACGGGTTGGTCGAGTGGTTAACACCCCGGCCTTCCACGCAGGCGGCGGGGTTCGATCCCCGAAGTCGTCGTACGCATGGAACATTCAGAGAAAGTGTTTTTCTTCTGCCAGCACAACTCCAACAACCGAGGTGGAGTATACATTGGTCTGGAGTGGATGTCGCGGTATTTGTGCTGAAGCATTCAAGTGAGGTGGCACTATAAATGATGTCGTTGGAAGCACTTTCCCACTTAAAACAGAACGCATTTCATCACCAGCACACACGCAGTCATATACACATAGAGAGATATTAGCCAGGTGGCATAGGACTAGTAGTTAGCGCCTGATAAGGCAGCTCCTGCGAATTCCTAAAAAAAGTATTGATTAATGTATATGCTAATTGTATTAATGTTATATCTATGCACTGTAAACCGCTTCAGAGTGGCTTATGTTAGCTAGATAGGGCGCTATATAAAATGCTGTATATGTTATTATTTGAATCGTTTACTTGCCTTTATGATATAAAGTTTGGTTTCACAATAAAAATATCTAATCATTTATTGAGAGTTACGATTCGGACAGGTTTTGTTAACACGTGCTATTATTGGTAGGTATTTGCACCCCACGATCGGCTCCCGCCTGTCAAGCAGTTAACAGCTGGATCGACTGTGAGATCAAAGGTCCGCAATGCGATGCACTTAAGGAAGATGGTCAGTACCACCTCTTTCCGTCTATGTATGCATAATACAAATAATCAGAACAACTGTAAACTAAGAAATGAAATTGCCAAGACCTAAACTAAATTCTTCTTATATTGTGTAAGACATATTGTTCCGTTTTCTTATAAACATATGCTTTTTGCTCATGATGCAAATATTCCCTTTTAAACAAGGACACTTAACTCTACATTTCAGGAATTAAAAGCATCACGGTGAGGCTTCCCGAGACAGTGGTGCCAGCTGTAGAGACAAACTACTACTGTATGTTTGCTGAACTGCCGACAGATGGCGACTACCATTTGGTTGGCTTCGAATCACAAATCGACAATACTGATATCAATCATCACATTATTCTGTTCGGATGTGAATCAACAGGTAAGAAAAGGAACATTCACCCCTCTAATAGCTCACCTGCCAAAAGGGAAATTGATCTTGCAACATGACGCAGCGTCCGTCGGTTTCTCTGCCGTCAACATCTTTTCTTTAAAACACTTTCTTATGAATAAACAAGAGACATAGGGCCAAGATATTTCTCCAGAAACATGCTGCTAAAAACATTAAAATTCAACTTTTGAGTAACTATGCGACCAAGTGTTTTGATATTGTCCAGTAACATGCTGAACAGATGGTATATCACATTTGTTCCAATGAATATTGCCCTACTTTCAAGGTCACATGGGTGAAATGTTTTAAAACATTTAAAAACTTTCTCTGAATGACCAAGGTTCCTAGTGCTGTGATACTTGGCCAGTTGCACACTGAAGTGAAGGACTATCAGTCCAAGTGGATTAAATGGCTTCACTTTATCCACCTCCGAGTCAATGTGTGTTAGTTATACATTTTAATTATAACGTCCAGTAGCAGGTGTCCTACTAAGTAATGTTATTTTGCTAGGAGCATGCTGGGATAAAGGGCAATTCATATGAATTGCATTGACCTGTTTTCAAGGTTACAACGGTCCGATATGTAAAATCTTTAAACGGTTTCTTCTGAAAAGCCCAGATGCACAGAGTAAGGATATAAGGCATACCGTAGATTACTATACTGTGCTGTAGTTAAATGAATTATTTTGACCGCCTGTTAAACATTTGAATTACTTTTTTTGAACACTTACATTGCTAAGACAATGATATTTGACCTGTAGCTTTATAATGTGAAACGCTATAAAATGTGTTATCCCCCTACCACTAAATGTTCCTAGTAAATTGGTATAGCCGGCAAACCTTTTTAATGACCCACCCACTAGTCAAAAGGCATCCTCTGACAGGTTTAATTACCCACCCACTAGTCAAAAGGCATCGTCTGACAGGTTTAATTACCCACTAGTCAAAAGGCATCGTCCGATAGGTTTAATTACCCACTAGTCAAAATGCATCGTCCGACAGGTTTAATACCCACTTGTCAAAAGGCATCCTCTGACAGGTTTAATTACCCACTTGTCAAAAGGCATCGTCTGACAGGTTTAATTACCCACAAGTCAAAAGGCATCGTCTGACAGGTTTAATTACCCACTAGTCAAAAGGCATAATCTGACAGATTTAATTATCCACTAGTCAAAAAGCATCCTCTGACAGGTTTAATTACCCACTTGTCAAAAGGCATCGTCTGACAGGTTTAATTACCCACTAGTCAAAAGGCATAATCTGACAGATTTAATTATCCACTAGTCAAAAAGCATCCTCTGACAGGTTTAATTGCATAAAGAGCTTACACGTATCGTGTCACTGAATTATATTATTATCAAACAAAAATTAAACATAAAGAATATGAAACCAGTATTCAAAGGTTGCAAGAGTAATATCGGTTGTGCCTTGTTCAGCATAGATTTTGTGGATTTTAAAGTTGTGTCAAAGCATTTTGATAACCGCTATTTACACAATTTTCAAAAAATCTATAGGATGTAAATAGTTAACAATGTATTGACTTTCACTATTAAAATAAATCCCCATTGATAATATATCAAATTTAATTGGGATACAGTCTAGAATCCAAAAATGTTAAGTTTGAAGTATTCATAATTAATACAATAAATCAGTACATTGTAAATACATTTGTCATTTGATAAATTTTATCATTTGATATTTACACTTTTAAATAAACATGTATTTTAATTTATATTTTATATGTCTCCAGATACGTTCTTTTAATCAATTAAATCTTGCTTGCGTCACTCTTTTATAAACTCATGTTTGCACATTATCTATCAGAGAAGACGAGCTTCGCGATAAACAATCCTCATCCCTGTGGAATGAAAAGTATACCAGAGTGTAGAACCATGCTGGGAGTTTGGAACTTCGGCACTCCTGTAAAATGTATGCACGAAGACAGTGGCTTCAGGATTGGAAAAAATGGGTTCAAATATGCATACCTTCAGGTACACTTACCTATGAAGCTCACCTTAATTCATTGAAATCTTTCTGCTGTTTTATGTGTACTTATAAATAGAATAGAGGTCCATCTCAGTGTAGGCAAACGTGGTGCTCCAGTGACATTTGGAACAGATATCATCTTTGTAATATGTACAACGCATTTACATATTTAACTGTTAAGATTAAATGAATTTATTTGGTAAAAAGATTTTAATTGTAGTTTCAACATTTTACAATACTCTTATTTCAGACGAATAACAGACTTTGCAACCTTGAAATACGTGTTAATATTTTACAGTTCCATTGGAACAATCCCCAACTTCGCACTGACTACACCGATAGCTCCGGACTGAAGTTGTACTACACACCCAATCGCCGGCCACATAACGCTAGAATGTGGACGGTCGGCTCATCGTACTTTGAGATTCCTCCTGGTGAAGAGGAATTTGAAGTAGAAGCATGGTGTAGGAATGACTGTACCTCGCGATACTTGTCTGGACCAGTCTACATCACAAGGGCAGAGAATCACATGCACTACCTCGGTGAGACGTTTTCAAATACCCAATATCGACCAACGTTCTTCAGAAATGTATATTTTAGGAATAACAATGATTATGTTTTGGGGATTTTACGGTATATACCGAAAAAACTGTGTGAACTTTGCACACGTAGAAGAGGTTTATGCCATAAAGTGCACACATATAGTTTTTCGGTGTATACCGTATAACCCTGAAAATTTATCATTGCTATTCCTAATAGCTAAATTTAAAAAGACGGACAACACTTTTTAGCTCATTGTTAACGAATGTTTATTCATTTTTTTGAAAGAAGACCCAACCAAACAATAACAAAACAAGGGAGACCGGATGATTTTCTCACGGAACACAGTATTTATCTGTAATTTCAATGCTGAGCAACTTTAATAAATCAGAAGTTAGAATTACAAATACTGCGTTACACATTGTATTGTACGAACTCACCACTTTTCGTGTTGTCTTTGTTTTACGCTATACGATATAATCGGTCTATCATAAAGGGAATAGCCGAAATTAACTGGATTAATACCCAATTAACTGAATTTATTAAATTTATACAGGACGTAAGCAAAAGATCCAGCACTACAGGAACGGAGTATGGATCAGGGATATAACCAATGACATGTATGACTTCAATTCTTTTGCTGACTATGCGTAAGTTATTTACGGATTTTTTTCTTCTTTTTTACTAACACATAAAATTGATCATTCCTTTCCTGACTCTTAAGTCGCAATAAGCTTTCACGATATCATATCTAGAGAAAGGGAAAGAATTAAACGACACCAGCAAGATTAAAATTCGAATACATTTTCGATTTCTAGATAAAAAAAATTAACAAACATTATGGAAGATTTGTAGACTAATATTGAACAGTGAAAGTCGGTACCAGGAATCCAGGCAAGTAAATTCATTGTCATCATTATAATAAACACTAAACAAACAAACAGATATGATGCTGACGAAAATGACAGTTACTGCTTTTATTGTTTTTTCTATGACTTGGTTGAGTGTACTAAATTGAACGTTTGCTTCTTTTCAGCTCAACTGGCCCGAAGGGCCATGTGAGCTTATGCCGTACTGCAGCGTCCGTCCTCCGTCAATTTTTCTTTTAAACGACTTCTTCTGAAGAACTGAAGGACCTAGGGTCATGATATTTGGCCAGTAGGTACCTGGGATGGAATGCTAAAAAATTTCCTCATTAAAATGACCTTGACCTACTTTCAAACAAACAACAATATCCTAAGAACCATTTTGACTAGAGTCATGATACTTAGTAATGTTATGTAGACCAATAATGCAAATCTTTTTCTTAATTACAGTAATGAGGTCAAAGGTCAACTTTAAGTGTTAGTCGGGGGTCAAATGTCAACATGGGTTCAAAGCTTTAACAATCTTCTTCTCAAGTTCCATAAGGCCCAGGGTCATGATATTTGGCAAGTAGTTACCTGGGATAGAGTGCTATAAACTTTCCTCATTAAAATGACCTTGACCTTCTTTTAAGGTCACAGGGGTCAAACATGTTAAAAACTACAAACAACGTTATCCTAAGAAGCATTTGGTGTAGAGTCGTGATACTTGGGTATGTTATGTAGACCAGCAATGATAATGTATTCGGTATTGAGGTCAAATGTCAACTTTAAGCGCTGGCCGGAGTCAAAGGTTAACGTGGGTTAAACGCTTTAAAATTACAATTTCAAATTTCAAACAACAATATTTTAAGAAGCATTTAAGAGATGTTAAAATGTCTTGTGTTCTAGTTACCAATTTTGGTCTGAAGTTACCTATATGTCAGTTTCATGTAACGTAAGAAACAGGTGACCGATACAGGCCCTCTGGGCCTCTTGGTTTCTTTATAGTTATTCAGCAAATTTGAAAACTTATAGTATGAAATTTTTGTTTGTTTGTTTATTTTATGGTAGGATTTTTTTTTATCGTACTCGTTTGTCTGCCACGTGGTGTCGTTGTCTGTAACGTGGTTTTGTTGTCTGTAACGTTGTTTCGTTTTCTGTAACGTGGTTTTGTTGTCTGTAACGTTGTTTCGTTTTCTGTAACGTGGTTTCGTTGTCTGTAACGTGGTTTCGTTGCATGTAACGTGGTTTTGTTGTCTGTAACGTTGTTTCTTTGTCTGTAACTTGGTTTAGTTGTCTGTATCGTGGTTTTGTTGTCTGTAATGTGGTTTTGTTGTCTGTAACGTTGTTTCGTTTTCTGTAACGTGGTTTTGTTGTCTGTAAACGTTGTTTCGTTTTCTGTAACGTGGTTTCGTTGTCTGTAACATGGTTTCGTTGCCTGTAACGTTGTTTTGTTGTCTGTAACGTGGTTTTGTTGTCTGTTACGTGGTTTTGTTGTTTGTAACGTGGTTTTGTTGTCTGTAACGATGTTTCGTTTTCTGTAACGTGGTTTTGTTGTCTGCAACGTTGTTTCGTTTTCTGTAACGTGGTTTCGTTGTCTGTAACGTGGTTTTGTTGTCTGTATCGTGGTTTTGTTGTCTGTAACGTTGCTTCGTTGTTACTAACCCAGTTTTCACTCTGAAGACGTGACAGTACTTGGATTTGATCAACATTTACATACTGGGTGTCGTCGATGAAACCAAAGTAACTAACACTTCCATGTTATGGTTATGTTTTCCTTGTACTTTTCTAGGGTTTCCATCTATATCTGGCCTTTCTTCGTATTTTGACTTTTTTTATTGAATTGTCCCAGATTTACGACTCCTATCGAAGTGAAGCCTGGGGATGAAATCAAGAGCACATGTACTTTCCGATCTGTTGGTAGAAACAAGACCACGCGCTTTGGAGAAGATTCATCACATGAAATGTGTTTCGGTTTTCTAGTTATCCATCCGCTTGAAAACTTGAAGGTTCAAGATTGCTTGTCATGGAGGGAGCTAGATACATGCAAAATATATGATTTTTCATCAGATTTCCCGGTGATAGACGGCTGCCATTATAAAACACTTTTGAACCCATTTCACCCAGACCTCATTGCTCTCATTTCCAACCTCAGATCACTCTGCAGATCTTTCGATGTTTGTACTCAAGAATGCAAACACTATGTCAGAGGTCTACTGGCGAGTAACAAGTGTTTCAGTGGGGTCATAAGCGACTTTTTGAAGTACTATACCATAAGTCAGGCACCATACTTTATGGAGGTATGGGCAGCCCTCGACTCGTGTAAAACAGAGTTAGAAATGGAGGATTGTCAGGAACAATGTGATTCTGCGAAGTAGAGCGACATGACCTTTAATCGTGGACAGAATCACGGTCGATTGGACAACAACAGATGATATGTACCGTAAATTACAGAACATTTGCCTGTTTACAAATTCAATATTCCATATTACGTAAAAGACTGAATTGCAATAAGTTTATCAAAATTTGAAGTCAATATTAAATGGATTAAAAGTATAAAATTGTTGTTTTTAAGTTTTGCTTCGTAACATTTAATACAATTCACTATTCCTCGAACATTCCTCGAGACGAATTGCTTTTATTGGACTTACCTTATACAGTCTAGGATATGGCTAAATGTAAACTATTGAATCGTTGTAGATAAGTCGTTTAATAGCATTCTTAGTAATGGTATTGATAAGCCTGTCAGTGATGGTTTTCTCTAATAGTATTACCGTATTAACAGTTAATAGGACTGCTACTGAAATGAACATTACTATATTGACTTGTTCGATTCCGTAACTAGTCAATGTTTCATCATGTTTTATTACATTTTAAGGAATCTCATAACACTACTGTTTTAACGGACTGACTTAGAAATCTTCGTTTTAATAGGCATATTCAGCAAAAAACTAAGATAAAAACTAAGAAAATATTTATCTTTAATGATAGTTGGAATCGAAAGGTGATAATTTGCCTTGTGTATTTACATAATGTATCTTGGAAAGAATGCCGTTAATATCAAAAACAAAGTTTTAATATTCAGTTTACTATCAGAGATAAGAAGGGGAAGACGAAGTGGCAAGTCTCTGTATACATGTGTTTGTTATTATCTGACATGCACGATGAAAGCCACTGCACCAAACTTAAGGATGTACACCTCTGAGAAGTCAAAAATTTCCTGTATTAAACTTTTATATGGATTTTTGGAAAAGGGAGTTAATGGCATAGTAGAAAATGCAAATCAAAATAATGTCGGTGTGTTCGTTTTTGTGCTATGACCGGTCAAAGATACCAATTTAACACAACACGTGATTTTAGGTGATTTTTTGGGTTTTGACCATTTGCAGAACAAATTCATACAATTTCTTCCAAGTATGTTATCAAATATGTATGAATGTTTATAGAATTGATGAAAATGTTATTTTCTATTAAATTGTGGAAGGAAAATTTCTTAACCTTATTCTTTTAACTCAGAAAGCCGATTTTAGTTACCCCTACCCCCTATTTTTTAATGAAAAAATACCCATTTGTTACCATTTTTTTTACAGATTAAACGCTTGATTCTTCTTTTTTTGTCCGGTTATCATTTGTGTTATTTCTTTACCTTATTCGGAGTCATCAATCAAAAGTGTTTCAGTTACACTAAATACGTAAAAAAAATATCAATAATGTATAATTTTCCAGTTCCTTGCATATTATTTTTATCATATCGAATATTATAAAGTTGTACCGCAAAATTGAACCTGCTACAATTAAAAATGGCGACACGATGACAATTTAAGTGATCAGTCTAGTGTCAAAAAAGGTGAAATTCTGGCCTTTTTTAAAGCGCGAGAAATACACATTAATACACGTTTTCAAAATAGCTGCCAAATTGGTATTGTTTTTAATTCTTGCAAAATAAGTTCTAAAAACAACAGGCATCTAGTTTTTTGACATATTTTTCCGATGCGTGTTTGCTAATAAACTTGATCATAATTTGTTAAATATTACAAAAACCCGTTACACCAGATCAAAACGAGACTTGAACGTGATTGAAACCTCAGAAGAGTACATCCTTAAGTTTGTCAGTAGTTTTACATTCTATTAGATGCCTTCAATATACATGCATTTCATTTGAGTATGAACTCATTGACAGAACTTATTTTGTATCGTTGTTTACTTACGTCTATGTCGGACCCATTGACAGCACTTATTTTGTATCGTTGTTTACTTACGTCGATATAGGACCCATTGACAGCACTTATTTTGTATCGATGTCGGACCAATTGACAGCACTTGTTTTTGTCTCGTTGTTTACTTACGTCGATTTCAGACCCATAGACAGCACTTATTTTGGATCGTTGTTTACTTACGTCGATATAGGAACCATTGACATAACTTATTTTGTATCGTTGTTTGCTTACGTCGATATAATACCCATTGACAACACTTATGTTGTTTCGTTGTTTACTTACGTCGATCTCAGACCCATTGACAGCACTTATTGTGTATCGTTGTTTACTTACGTCTATGTCGGGCCCATTGACAGCACTTATTTTTCAGCGTTGTTTACTTACGTCGATATGGGAGCCATTGGCATTACTTGTTTTGTGTCGTTGTTTACTTACGTCGATATAAGCCCCATTGACAGCACTTATTTTTCAGCGTTGTTTACTTACGTCGATATAGGGCCCATTGACAGCACTTATTTTTCAGCGTTGTTTACTTACGTCGATATAAGCCCCATTGACAGCACTTATTTTGTATCGCTGTTTAATTACGTCGATATCAGACCCATAGACAGCACTTATTTTGGATCGTTGTTTACTTACGTCGATATCAGACCCATTGACAGCACTTTTGTTGTATCGTTGTTTACTTACGTGGATGTCAGACCCAATGACAGCACTTATGTTGTATCGTTGTTTACTTACGTCGATATAAGACCCATTGACAGCACTTATTTTGAATCGCTGTTTACTTACGTCGATATCAGACACATTGACAGTACTTATTTTGTATCGCTGTTTAATTACGTCGATATCAGACCCATTGACAGTACTTATTTTGTATCGCTGTTTAATTACGTCGATATCAGACCCATTGATAGCCATATTTTGTATCGCTGTTTACTTACGTCGATATCAGACCCATTGACAGCACTTATTTTGTATCGTTGTTTACTTACGTCGATGTCGGACCCATTGACATCCCTTATTTTGTATCGCTGTTTACTTACGTCGATATCAGACCCAGTGACATCACTTATTTGGTATCGTTATTTACTTACGTCGATGTCGGACCCATTGACATCACTTATTTTGTATCGCTGTTTACTTACGTCGATGTCAGACCCATAGACAGCACTTATTTTGTATCTTTGTTTACTTACGTCGATATCAGACACATTAATAGCACTTTTGATCTTTCGAAGCCTATTTCCAGCTTCAGAATCCTCTCCTCTCCTGGCGCTCAGCCTTTTCTTGTTGCAGGCGCACTGCCTTTGTGTCTACAAGTAACCAACCATACAGCATCTCAAACTCGTTTGACACGACACGTATACAAATGTAAGAAACATTTGATCGCACATTATTATGCACATATATTTTTAAACTAGAATTAGTTTTAAATACTGTTTCTATAATGACATCGATTTTCTCATATGCCACTAGCTTAAGATGATATAGAATAAAACAAAAGAATAAATAAATAAATACTATAAAAGTGGATAAGAAAGGTCCAAAGACAACTTAGCTACACAGGCGTCTCTCTGCCTCAGAATTTTGTTCTTTTCTATAGGGTTAACGTTATGACAACACAATCATATATAAACCAGTCTGATATATTACTTAGCCTTTAAATTTTACAGGGACATTTTTTTTCACGTTTTGGAAAAAAATCGCTTCACAATAAAATAGGCTTGATCAAAGCTGTATCAGAACGTTCGGCAACAAGTTCGTGGGGTTGATATTTCGCTAATTATTTTCTCAGGTCACGTAATTGCTGAACGTTAAGCAGGGAATAACAACTACCATTTTTAAGGACTTTGGTATGTTCCGGCCTGGGTTCAGAACCCATTGCCTTCCTCACCTGGGCGAACACTCAACATTAAGGCCAAAAGCGAGGTGTTGCCAAGAAAAGGCGCTAGGAAATAAAAGCTAGTTAGAAGTGGAAAGAAAGATAAAGATCCCAAATATTGCAATGGGTGCAGCAGATTTATTTTGGTCGCTTTTGTGTCCCCAAATAGAGGACACCAAAGCAAATCTCCAATTCGGCAGGGGGTTCCCTTATTAGTCGCCTCCTCCGATAATGCAGAGGGTAGCAGCAGGTGTATTCTTTTCCAGATCCCTAACCTGCAGGGGTGTTTTTGTCAGAGACTAAAAAAAAAGCAAAAAAAAAAAATTTAATCAAGTTTTGATTTCATTATGTTGAGAATATGAACAAAATCAAATGTTTGAAGTCTTTATATTTCAGTCATAAATGATTTATGCATCGGCACTCATAAAAGAAACAATTGATGGTGCGTTGATGTCGAATTCAATAAAGGTTTTCCAGACCATCATGTCGAGTTCTAACGCCTTCTTTCAGCAACGTTATTGTTTTTCACTCCGCGTGCGATGAACCACTAACAAACAGATGATGTTTGATTTTATTTGGCATATAAACCTTTCAAATCTCGGAGACTGTAACAAAATTAGAAAAAGACTATGTACATGTATCGATTTAACGTCGATCTCAGCAATTTTCAAACAGTTCTTTTTTTCAAACTTCTGTTAAGCAATCTTTTTTTTTCTATTTGCCCTTACGGAAGCGCGCAGATGGTCTGCCTCTTTATGTGGGAGGATTATCCAGAGAGAAAACCCGTGGGCGTACAGGTGATCGAATCCTGGCCATCTTGGTGAAGACAAGCGCGCTATCCACTGCGCAACTCGACCCACCATATAAGGTACACTCGAATCTCTACTTTTAATGGCGTCTTTCAGGCAAAAATTAATTTTGGAATACCCATCATCTATGTTACAAATCTTTTACATAAATGCCGATCTTAAAAGCTCATTTGAGCTAGTGTTTTATTATTATCCCTCGACTTTTGATCAGGCTTATCTAATCTTATTCTCAATCAGTAAATATCAGAGATTAACAAAAGCTATACGCTCTTTTCAGGCCTTGCCTTTTCATATTCATATATGGCTTCGTTTATTTAGTTCTTGTGTCGCACGTTATGTCGTTATTTCAGAAACAGTGTCGCACGTTATGTCATTTCTTCAGAAACAGTGTCGCACTTTATGGCGTTCATTTAAAAACAGTGTCGCACGTTATGGCGTTCCTTAAAAAACAGTGTCGCACGTTATGGCGTTCCTCCAGAAACAGTGTCGCACGTTATGTCATTTTTTTTTTCAGAAACAGTGTAGCACGTTATGGCGTTCCTTAAAAAACAGTGTCGCACTTTATGGCGTTCCTCCAGAAACAGTGTCGCACGTTATTGCGTTCCTCCAGAAACAGTGTCGCACATTAAGGCGTTCCTTAAAAAACAGTG